CTTTATTGATGTTCCGCGTGGACAAGCGCAGTGCAGTTCTCGGCAGAGGCCGCGCGGGGGCCGCGGGCCACATGCAAATACAAATATTGTATTTGTTCCCGTTTTGTTTTTTTACTTCAAACTAAGATATGTGCAGTGTGCATAGGAATTTGTTCATAGTTTTTTTTTAAACTATAGTCAGGCCCTCCAACGGTCTGAGGGAGAGGCGCCTTGTGCGGCCCCGTCCGCGCGGTGCTGGGGACCCGGCGGTGTTGAGTGACAGACGGCCGGGCTGCCCTACTAGTCCGTCCCTCTCTCTCCTGGGATTTAGGAAACCGCCAACGGGTCGCAGGGTCACAGTGACTCTGCTGGAGGGACCCCCAGGCCCCAGGCAGCCAGGATGCGTCCCTGCCCTCGCCCGGGCTCCCGCCTGCTTTTCCAAGGCAGAGCTGATCACAGCCGCCACTGCGCGAATATGTCTCCCCCCAGAGAGATTACCTATTGCTCTTGCCTCATTTGCGACCTGGAGCGGAATCTAGGACAGCGGTTCTCAGAGTGCGGGCTGGTGACTTCTGAGGGTCCCCAAGACCCTTCCCGGGGATCCATGAAGTCACAACTGTATCCATCTTACTTAAGAGTTATTTGTTGTTTTTACTCGCATCCTCTTGGGAGTGTCCAGAGAAGTTTTCAAGAGAATAGCTAATATACAGTCACTCTATTGGCAAGTGAAATGTGTGCTTGAATCGTGTTTTCTAGAATCTTCTAAGGTTAACATCATATATATGTATATGTAGATATAGAATAAATATGTATATCCTATATAATAAAAACCTAATATTCTAAGTACCCAACCGCTCCTTCAACCATTGGACCAGTCGCTAAGACGCACACTGACCACTAGGGGGCAGAGGCTCCAACGTGTAGGTTAGCTTGCTGCTGGAGTCCAGCCAATCGGGACTGAGCAAGTCAGGCCCCACACACCCGGGAGCCCTCCCACAATCTGGGACCCCTCAGGGATGTCAGAGAGCCAGTTTCCACGGATTCCTCCAGGCCAGGCCAAGGGACCCCCTACTGGTGCACAAATCCGTGCACTGGGCCTCTAGTTCATCTACATTAATAAAAGATAAACATGCAAATTGACTGTACCTTTGCTACGCCTTAAGCCACACCCACCAGCCAATCAGAGCGACTATATGCAAATTAACCCAACCAAGATGGAGGCCGGCAGCCACAGAGCTGGAGCGAGCAGGAGGCTTGGTTGCCCCAGTGATGGAGGAAGCCAAGCTTCCCGCCCACCCTGGCTGGCTCTGAGCTCCACTCAACGCTACAAAGTTTCAATTACAGAAGGTAAATAATCCCAGGAAATAAAAAGAAAAAAAGGAGAGTCTGGGAGCTTCCGTCGCCGGGAGGTTTGACCAACCTGAAAACGGCCCCCAGCCCCTCACCCAGACTGGCCAGGCCCCCCAGGGGTACCCCTACCCTGATCCAGGACACCCTTCAGAGCAAACCAGCCAGCCCCCACCCATGCACCATATAATCCTATATAATAAAAGGGTAATTGCAAATTGACCCTAACAGCAGAACGACTGGGAATGATTGGTCACTATGACACACACTGACCACAAAGGGGCAGATGCTCAATGCAGGAGCTAGCCCCTGGTGGTCAGTGCGCTCCCACAGGGGGAGCTCTGCTCAGCCACAAGCCAGGCTGATGGCTGCCAGCACAGCGGTG